ATCTAGCTTTCTACCACATTTTCCTCAGATTCTTATAAATTCTTCAGAATGATTCGTTTTTCGATCTCGAAAACAGTGCTTTGATCGATTGTTGGAATCAATGAAATTCCACTATGAAATTCTGTACCTCCCTGTATCAGTTAGGTTGTATTCGATATAACATCCCAGTGGAATTGATTTCATGTGACATTAGCTCAGGTAATTAATTATTCTGGAAACATTTTCTAGTAAATAGTTTAAGTACCAACTTATAATAATTAATATCAATCATGTACCTTATAAGTAGGAGCCTTTGAGCTTTAACTTTTCCTTTGACCTGCGATGATGTAATCATGTTATTTTTATCGAATGCTAGTTAAAACTCCCTTGTTAATTACAAGACCCTTATAATCAACCTGACTTGTTAAACTTTTGGCGGGATCCCTAACATTCTGGTGGGAGCGCGTGCTACAGACATTTGAATATTTGGTGGAAACGCGCACTAGTAGTATTCAATAAATCTAATTATATTGAAAGGGTTGAGAGATACTGATCTACTGAAACATTCATAGCCCACTGAAGAATATTTTGACACTTATTTATTATTATGATGTGATAATAAAAATAATTCGATAAAATTTTGGCATTTCGTATCCACAAAGAATAGGAGCAATATTTTACCCAATTCAATGAAGTTGGATAATGAATGTGCAGAAGTTGCCGCCGTCTATAAAGTTTTTTCAAAATTCTTCAGAAGTGTCTTTTGACCCTGTCAACAAACTACTGAGTTGTTGCCAAAAAAGGAAAGGGATATAATTAGTAATATAGCTGTAGCTGAAAGTGAAGTTCTAGACATCCTTTGTGAACTAAATGAAAATAAAGGTGGTGAACCTGATGGCATCCCAACATTTTATTTATTTATTTATCTATTTACGAATAGGAATACAAACGGGACTAACCCAAAAGCAGTATTCACAGATATGTCATATCTCATCATACAGATATATTTAAACTAAACAAATCGAATATCAATTACAAAGTTGATGAAAATCAATAATTGGAGTAATTATAAATGATTGAGTATAGGTACAACATGTAGTGATTGTAGTGTGTTGATACAAACAAGGGTGAAATAATTTTATTCAGTACATATTAAAACGTTAAAATATCAAAATCAAGTAGGTGAAGCCAGGAAATGTTTTTTCAAAATGTAAGAAAATTTGGAAAGTGAGTAAGAGAAAATGTCAATATCGATAGAATTCGACAGAGCGTTGTTTAATATTTTGCATCTCTGCATTGGAGAGTTCAAAAAATAATTTGTTTGAGATTGTTCGTAACGAAAAATGTGATGATTCCTTGTAATATAAGTAGGAGCTGTAAGGTAAATATTACTGAGGATAGCAGGCGAATCAACTAAATTATTTATGATTTTATAAAGAAATTTCACGTCAGAAATGTTCCTTCTATGCGCTAGTGATAATAAGTTCAGCTCATTTCGAACATAGTTACGGTTGCTGGGGTTGGATGGAAAGCATTTTTTATTGACGTAATCAATGAATATATTCTGTATCCGTTCAAGTTTGTTTATATAAATATCGTAACCAGGGTTCCATATTAATGAACCATAACTCAGAACACTATTGACATATGACATATAAAGGGTACGGAGTGTCTGTGTGTTTTTAAATTCACGACAAGTTCTCATATAAAAATACGCACCTAGTTTGTATGTTCCCCTGACCATTATTCATAATAGATCATTCAATAAATGCACATTCCCAAAGAAATGGAAAGGAGCATTCGTTGTTCCGGTTTTCAAAAATGGTGACAAATAAGTAATTATCGACCGATTTGCAAAATCAATTTCTTATGCGAAGTACAAGAACTCATTTGACATAACACACTAATGTGACTAATGTATACAGTCAAAGAATGTATCATTCATGAGCAACATGGCTTTATCCCCAAGAGGTCTATTGAAACTAATATTGTTTCGTATAGCGAGAATATTTCATCTGCAATGTATTGGATTCAGGCCGACTTTATATACACCGATTTTAGCGAAGCATTCGATAAAATCAAACACAATATACTAATGTTGAAGCTGTTTGAAATTGGTGTACATGGAAACCTTCTTCGTCTGTCGTAGCTAACGGTTATGAATCAGATTCCTATTTAGTAACCTCAGGAGTACCCCAAGGATCCCATCTGGGACCTTTACTTTTTGTATTATACTTGAACGACAATAGTTCATGCTTCAAATAGTGTGAAGTTCTGCTTTATGTAGACGACTTGAAAATATTTTCTTGTGTCAAAAGTCCAGGTGATAGTGTCTCACAATTATCACAATTACAGGATGGTACTACTGTAGACCCGTGAAGAATTACTAGTTCAAAATACGTCATTCGGTCATCCAGCCTTTCCCATAGACGTTGAACGCGGCAGAACTCCTCGTGGGGTATAAATGCTGAGATGCGTTTACGTTGAGTCAGGTTCGCACCAGATAGCGGTCAAGAATGCTATCTGGGACAGCCCTGCACTGATTGGAGCCAACAGCTCGATACTGGTCTGCAGATTATCACGCGTTCCTGAACCACTTAGGCGCAGCTCGGCGTTTAGGAAGAAAACACTTGCGATTTCATTCGTCAATATACGAATTATTGCATAGTAACGACTTTGAGTTTCTCTATCTTCGTGTCAGAATTGTATATTGACGACTGTGAAATGCTCCCGCAATTGTTGAACCGTTCTTCAGCACACTGTATCTCAATGACACCAAAAAAATCAAAGGGATGATTTTTTGTTGAAAATGAAGGTGGGTTTTCGGTACCTATACAATTTGTTGATAAACCTCTTCCCGGAAAAGTTAGACAGTTGTTTTCCTCTCGATACTAGAACTATTGTGGTATTTGAGTTTCTCTTTCTGTGTGACCATTGCATTCTACTTTGAGTATTTGGATGTTTCCTACTTGAAAATTCCGATAGTTTGCGTTCTCATCTTCTCACGATTCTAGCACACCGAATTCTTGTTGTTTCAAGCATTTCCATTGGCTGGATGAAATAAGTATATGTATGAAAACTATCTTCTCAACAAGATTCCTCATGTGGATTTCATACATACAGTACAAACAGTACTGTATAGTACAGTACAATACATTTGTGTTTTATTCTTTTACACGAGGTGTATCTAAATAGCACCGCAAAAAAACAAGAGTTGATTACTTCCCAAGCAACCAGATGACGTTACAGTGACGTCTTTTTTACGTCACTTGAATGACCAAGGTGACATCAGTAGTTGACGTCGCATTGACGTGATAATGACGTGAATAAGTCACAGCCCAATGGCTCCATATTACTCACGTCGTATTGACGTCATTCACTCACCAAACTGTGACGTCCGACTGACGTCATAATGACGTCATAATGACGATTGAATTTGGCGATGATACGTAAAAAAGACCCCTTTAACATGGTGTGATTAACACCACTAGCCTCTGATGACATAATATAATATTGATTATGCATTATTGAGTCTGCTTGGTGGGTCCCTCCTGTGTCATGTTCATTCAATCGCCTATTTAGCAGCGCCATCCTTCAGTACGCATCACCATCAGAATGCAATCAGTTACTCGTATTTGTATCATAAATCATGTAGTTTGTGTCGGCGAGATGTAAGCAAACAAAGAATAGTTTGATAGCAATGGAAAGGATGTTGGCGAATTTGGCTTCACTTTGTTGAATAATATTGAAAAATTTCCTAAATGACGAAGCTCACCAAATTGGTACGTCACACCGACGTGATTTTTAGACGTCATAGATACGTCACTGCAACGTCATAAGAGTAACGGTTTCAATAAAGGTTTACCTTAACAATCATTTGTATATATACATAGCTTGTTGGTTTCCGAGACATACAGTGTGTCAAAGTTTTTTAGAAAAAAAATTTCTCCTACTTTTTGGGTACATTAATAATTCCAATAAAACTTGCATGTTGATTTGCTTTCATGAGGTATACTTCTGTTTCACATGATAATATAAGTATCCAAGGTTTAGAGAAAGTCTGGAAAAAATGGACGTCGACAGGACGTCCCTGCAACGTCATGAAACTGACGTCTTCTTTTATCCATCTGAGTGACGTTCACTCGACGTCGAAACGATGACGTGATTATCACGTCATAGTGACGTCATAAATTGGTGTGTGACGCCTCTGACGAAAAATCACCAATTAGGGACATCACAGTGACGTGATCATTCGTCATCTGGTTGCCTGGGTTGTGATATTTCAAGAAATAAAGAAATGAAGAATCGTTTTTTTATTCATCATTCAATTGTCTTTTCATCAAATTCAATGAAACGTTGTGGTTTCTTCGATAATAATATGGAGCTTCTTCTGGTGCAATTAGATTGGAAATCATATTTCCAGTGGCGTCACAGTGGGTGAATTTATCGATATTTATGATGAATGTCATTGTACGCCATTGGCTTTCCTGAGTTTCATATTTTCAATAGATTAACCTATGGGAATAACAACTTATTTGTTCCATGTGTGGTTTCTGTATCTGGCTTAGTGTTTGAGGAAACAATGAAAATTCGATTTGACTCCAAATTTCAATGTAGGAGTATTCAAGACTTCCATTGAGATTACTCAATAACACCCATTAGAATCATTTTAAAATTTTGAGGCTTTGTCAGTCTCCAACCAAACTGAATTTTGGCACCATGAAAGCTTATACAGGGGGGTATAAATAAAAAACAAACAATACTTCAAAAGTCAACAACCTGTATCTCAAAAACGGAGCAAGTTACATGTTTATGTAACCTTCCTTTGCAAAAAATATCACAAGGAATCACTCTTTGAATTATTTGGGTGTTATTCAAATACATCCTGTATAAACCCATATGAAAAATTCAATACCCACGCTCCTGAGAAAGTTAGTTATTGTGATATCCCGCGAGTTCAAAATCGACTTCAGCATTCCGAAGATAAACAATGTTTGGTGGGAAAAACAATTTTCATTTACCTGGCATGTCGTCCCTTATGGAATACCTGGATCCTGGGCTGGTGATGTTGATGGGCAGCATATTTTTCAGCCAAGTTATTCTGGGCGGCGGATTGCCCGATGCCTCGCATTTCAAAACGGCGTTATGGCCGATCTCCACGACTTTGTTTGTGATCGGAGATTGCGTTATTTGGGGGAATCCGGGAGGTAGTTTGTCAGCTGAAACAACGAAATATTTTCCGATGAGAATAACAGCGGAATACGTTCATCAGGTGCGTGCTGACTAACACATCAGGTGGCCCTACAATGGGCATATCACAAAAAAAAATCATTTCATAATTCGATAGAACTCACCCAAACTAGCTCACCACCGCAAACCGTTTCTTGCTGTGAGCTCCCTATGTTTTATAAAAAATTATTGAAATCCCCGATTTTTCGGACTTCTGAAAACGAGGCGATGATGTGATATCAAAACCCCAATACTGAAACAAGACTATTCCAGACAGAGATGAATGATATATGATTTCTGACAGAGTGAATTAGCGCGAGATCACAGTTGAAAGAATTAATATATCAGTTGCCTCAGTCTCCGTCGGGCGTTTGGTATTTTCTTTCAACTATAGCGAGATGAGGTTTCTACGTCATAAGAGGGTCCATTTTCAGAAGGTACTATTATTTATGTCCAAAAATAAAACATTCCAGTTAATTTTTCGATCGAATTATGTGTTGCACCGCAACAGGGGGGAAATTGGCCTTCGGTAAATTTGCTAAAATTCTACAATAGTTCGTATTACACAGGGTGCTAAATTAAAATTTTTCAAAATTTTTGATTTTGACTACCTTTTGTTTATTCATGTGGTCGGTGAAAATCCACTATAGAGTGATACCTGCACGAGCTCACGTAATACAAAGTTGATCTGGAAAATAATGTTGCAATTATTTCTGAAAATATCAATTTATTTTTGGACATTTTGTAATATACTGATATCAACATTGATATTGAATAAATGCATCTGTTCAATCAGATTTTAATGTTATGCACTATGTTTTGGTTTTCAAGAAACCGTACCTGTCCTGCTAGTCATATCCATCAAATGATTGTAATCCTGTAAAACTTAGGAAGGAACTTGATGATTCCTGATGACAATCCTTTCTGCGAATATCTGAAGTATACAGGGTGGCTCTGAGAGTAGTGACTATTGGCTTATGATTTCCTAGAATGAGTGATGATCGATCGAATTCTAAATAAATCTGATGCTCAGATAGTTTGAACAAGTTACTGTGGAGTATTCTTCATACCGATGTCTACTACGAATAATAACTCAATTGATGCTGCATGTAGGAATCTTGGGAAATAATATGGGAAAACTAAACAGAATCACCAAATCATGTTATAACAGATATGGCGAAAGATTTTCGAATCACTATAGATGCTGTTTCTCACCTATACAGAGTTAGAGGTAGGTACTCGAATACTATTCATCATTGGAAGTGTGTCGAATATGATGTCCGTTGTCGACTCAATCTCCTAATTCAACAATCAGGAGAAAGATCATCAGATCGACAGTAATATCAATAGTTATATTTATAGCAGTTATCAACTCGAAAAATGTTGAAAAAAAATATTTTTCATCCAATAACATTAACAAAACTGATTGATTTCTCTTGAAATAAAAATATTATGATTATGATAGATATAATCCAACCGAGTTGCTATTCTCAGTAGAAATGGAAAGGACACAAATATTAGCTGACTATATAGTATTTTGAGGTAGATAGATGTTCTGATTTACAAATACATTGACTCTGCAAATCAAAGGATCTGCAAATCAGTTGCACCATTGCAAATGGGACATGTAAAGTTTGCGTTTGCATAAGCAATCTCAAGCAACCTGGATCTTCTTGGAGGAGATGAATTTCCTGAATAATTGATTGGCTGCACTTTATACGAATTCTTCTCCTATCAATTTTTCCGACATGTGAAAGTATTCTTCGGTCGTCGGTTCTTCATCGAGTCGCGCCATATTTTGTGAATTGAAAACAACTAAGTTGTTCATATTCATTTGATTGAGATAACAATAAGAATTTGAAAAATACAGGACTGTGAAATAATTAAATTCGAGTTATGCGAGTTCATTCTGTGAATAAGTTTTTTCGCTAACCATCAATAGTGGTAGGGTGATTGTGTGTGTAGTGATGTAGTCAATCGGGAATTCAAAAGATATACTCAGATTCTGAGAATCAATGGAATCCTCTAATGATTGAATTCGTTTTTGTCTGGACAGAATAATACACTTTGTATAGGTGAGAAATATCATCGATAGTGATTTGGGAATCTTCCGTCTATTAGAAAATCATCAGCAAATACATAATATTTTGATCAATTTCAGTAATAGAAGCAAATTTATGGATTGTTGAGTTGTGGAATCTATTCAGACAGGCAAATAAAATGGCTGAACATAAAATCAATAGGAATATAAGAATGCCCCATCCACAACTTTGCTGATATCAGGATTTTCCATACTGCGCGTTCTCTTCCAGCATTCTCGTCTCATCAGAGTAAACTGAGAACTCACGAAGAAAAATTACAGTCTGGGGATCCGAATACTTGAATTTTAAGTAACCGAAAATCAACTTCCTACTCAAGCCTGTATTGCCACTTCAAAACATTCAACTTCAATATGCTTGATATTAAAATGCCTGGTACCAATAGTAGTGTTCTTTTGAGGGAATTACTAATGAACTTCCTCTCAACTTATTGTTCGTTATCTTCGAAGAATGTGACTGGTGAATTTGAATATAAATATTGTGGACTTTATGGAGAAAACAAGGCTTGAGTTCTGGTGGCGTGTTTTCAACCGGGTTGTTGGTTCCCCAAGTTGTGATTCATTGATTCTTCATTGACAGCGCTGCCATCGTCGTGACTTCCCAGTTTTCTAGGATGAAATTAAAATTCTGGAAGGAAAACGCAGAATGGAGAGTACTGTCATCTGCGCCAATAAACTGTGGATAGGGCACGTATGGATACTCCCAAAAAGTTCATCGATATGGAGTATGGGGACGATGTTGGTGTCAAAGTGGACCCTTGTGGGACGCTGGTTGAGGGCGAGGGTATATTATCAGACGATACTCATTTTACCATCACATGGAGCGACCTGTCTGGAAGAAAAGTCGGGAGAAGAATAATCCATTGTCATATGATGGGAGTTCTTGGAGAAATGCTCGGTGCTAAACAAGTTCAAATGCTCTCGATATATCCGATGCGACAGCTAGAGATCACCATGTTCTTTGTATACAAGGTGTCCGGAAATTTTGCGCAAAAACTCGAGGGGGTGATTCTGCATGACACATGAAATCCATCTCATTTATACTGTGATCTGGAAAATCATAGTTCAAGATACAGGGTGGTAAACTTTTCAGATTAAATCGGTTTTTATGAATATCTCGAAAATCATTCCACCGATTCTCTTGGAATTTGTATAAATTTGTGCGAAATATTGCTTCTAAAACCGGGGGTGAAATTAAATGTGTGATCCGTGTCCATTGACGTAGAATACGAATGAAGATTAATTTTCTTCAAATATTTTATGAAGCATGTTTGACACTTTTTGTATCATCGGAAACTATGCCTTTCTGGACCAAGACATAGTTGTCAATATACAGAGTGTAGAGTGAGTCTTACATGTATCAAAAAATATTTGGAGAAAACGAATCTCCATTTCTATGTCTATGGACATTGATCAAGCATTCATTTCCACCACAGTTTTTGAAGAAAATTTTTTGGCACAAATTTATGCAATTAATTGGCATTCATTTTTTTCCAGGAAAATTATCGAAACAATTCAAGAGACCAGAATGTTCATAAATCACAGCAGTTTTCATTTTGGCTGTTGGCTTCGTACTACGTATCACATTCTCGTCACGTCGTTGGGAACTGTTTGTGGTTCCTTGTTCCCAAATTTCCAGCTCAGAGAGTCGGTATCGGTCGATATAAGGTTTGTTCTCGATCGAAAATAGACAGTCCGAAGCAATCGGAAGCATGCGCAGTTCCACGCAACATAAAAAATGCCAATAGTTCTGTGAAACTGCGCATGCTCGTGATGGTTTCGGACTGTTTATTTCTCGAACGAGAACGAACCTAATGTATTTTGTTAAAGAGTTCTAGTTCACCCTTTTCGCGAATATGTCAAAATATTGCATAGAATCGAATTTGCTTTATTTATTTTCTCCATATTGTCCAAATGATATTGGAAATACTTACCGGTCGTAGAAGTCACTTCTGATGTGTGGTCCTACACACACATTTTTTTTTTATGAAACTTGCCATACACTGAGTATTCCAGATCTACTCATTCAGCTTATATCACAGTTATGCTAAACAATTTGTTCATCAAATGATACTTTTGTCGAAACCCATATGACTTTCAAGCAGTTGTGTCAAAGTCAACTTCTGTCAAACTACTTCTGGAAATCCACTTTCAACTTACATTTTCAAAATTACAACGGACACCATTGTTGATTTGTGATCAATTCTAACTTCAACGATGTATATCAGTTTTGATAATTTGACTGATTCCCAATTGCCAGAATAAATTCTCATTTGGGGTAAACCTCAAAGGAATTGTGTTAGTTGAATGTACCTACAAACTGACCAAAATGAGGGAGCACGAACAACTGTCAAAAAAACTGACTGAAAGACGCGTGCCACTAACAACTGTGAAAAAATATCATAATGATAGAATTTTATAAGTTTGGTAGTATATATTCGTACCTATGTGATCAAGTGTGATACATCATTGAAGTAAGAATTGTTTGCGCTTCACAAATTAACAAAAACATATTATTGTATAATTTGAAAAATTCAAGTTGGGGATGGTTTTGCAGAGGTAGTTTGACAGAATTTGTTTTTGACAAAACGGCTTGAAAGTCATATGAGTTTGACAAAACTGTGATATTCAAATTTTTTTAAGCAGCATCACTGAGATATTGGCTGTCTGTATCTGGGACATCCGATATACGCAATGAAATCCCCTATGAATAGAATAACTATAATATTCAAATAATCGTCATCTGAATAGCTGTTAGTAGTTCTTCAACAATTTAGGATAATCTTCGAAAAAAATTAGAATAATTTCAGATCTGTTGGTATCAAACTGTTTGTTTATTGTTTGGATGAGCGAGTGTTTACCAGCCTCTGTGAGTGAGCGTGTTCCACTCAATGGATGTTTG